CTGTCCTCTCCGCCTGTCCTCTCCGCCTGTCCTCTCCGCCTGTCCTCTCCGCCTGTCCTCTCCGCCTGTCCTCTCCGCCTCGCCTGTCCTCTCTGTCTGTCTTCTGTCCTCTCTGCCTGTCCTCTCCGCCTGTCCTCTCCGCCTCGCCTGTCCTCTCTGTCTGTCTTCTGTCCTCTCTGCCTGTCCTCTCAGCCTGTTCTCCCCGCCTGTCTTCCCCGCCTGTCCTCTCCGCCTGTCCTCTCTCAGTCTATGTTGGTTTGTCCTCCCGTCCAGTATGTGTCCAAGGCTTCCATGGGGTCTCCTGGTGGCACCAATGATTGGCTCCCGTTCTCTTCTCTCGGATCATTGTACTTTCCTCGGTCCATCGTAGTCACCGCTGTCCATGTTCTGTCCCGTCTCTCCTATAGACCGGGTGAGTGTGATGGAGTCCGTGGGTCCCATCATCAGAGTGAACGTGGAGACTTCAATCCAGACGGTGGAAGTGGACTTGGTTCCGGTAGTGGAAAACCCGGGGAGTTGGCCCAGGACGGCCCACTGGCCTCGGTTCTTCAAGCGTTGGCCCTCCAAAGACAAAGCACGATGTGTAAAGGTAACGGGGCAACTGCAAACCTAACACTGGAGATATGTGTACAGACAATCAGCAGTGACAACCCTGAGATTGTACCCCTTGACCTTCCATCCTGGGGCTGGTGTCATAACTATCAGATGTTTTACCCCTGGGGGCTTTGATGGGGTAATTTCGGGTCATGGAGGAACGTTTCCCGTACACTTTGTACCCCTTCTGTCTCCTTTGACTTCCTCCTAAATCTTCATTTGACCCCTGACCTCTGACCCCTTCTTCCATCTTTCAGTCCTTCGGCTTTGACCTCATTGCTCGGACCAATTACCACTGGCAGTTGTCCTTCCTGCGTGCTGAGCGCCTCCTGCTGGAAGGGTTGGATGAGGACGGAGGGTGCCGCATGAAATGTTTGCGTGTTGTTCGGCAGTTGAAGGAGGACGTGTGGTGTCCTGGGAATCGCCCCGTCATCACGTCACAACATCTCCAGGTGAGGTGTAATGGTGTCACCCCCCGAGGTTGGGCAGATACCTTTCTAGTGTCATCCTGAGGACAGAGGGGCGGACCCCATGTGACTGAGCGCCGCCCTATCAGATCCATTTTGATTGGACGTGATTATCGCTTTGCATTCGGTTTCTGATCAGTCCCTATTATGATCAAGGTGCCCAAAAATGTGGGAGGAGACAGACTGAGGGTAGTGGGAGGAGACAAGCACAATATAGTGGGAGGAGACAGGCTCCATTTAGGGGGAGGAAACAGATGCTACATAGTGGGAGGAGACAGAGTCCATGTAGCGGGAGGAGACACCATATAGTGGGAGGACACCATGTAGTGGGTGATGTCACTATGTAGTGAGAGGAGGCAGACTCAACATAGTGGGAGGAGACACTCTATATAGTGGGTGGAGACAGACTCTATGTAGGAGGAGGAGACACTATGTAGTGGGAGGAGACACTCTATATAATGGGATTAGACACTATGAAGTGGGAGGAGTCACCATACAATAGTAGGACTCTACATAGTGGGAGGAGACAGACTATATAGTGGGAGGAGACACTCTATAGTGGGAGGAGACCAGGGCCGGCCTTAGGGGTGTGCGAGCAGTGCGGCCGCACAGGGCGCCATGGCAACAAGGGCGCCGTGCGGCCGACACAGCTCGTCCTGGGGGAGGCTTCTCTCCCCCTCACCGCTGGGCGCTGGCCATCCGATATGACAGCGCTCCCTCGTCCGCCCCCCCCTCAGGGGGGGGGCGCAGGAGGGAGCGCTGCCTGCTGTCAGGATGGCGGAGCGGTGGGGGGGAGAGAAGCCGCGCCCGCAGCTGTCAGGATGGCGGAGCGGGGAGGAGATCGGAGCCGCTGTCAGTTTCAGGATGACAGCGGCTCTCTGCGTGGCTGAGCGGGGGATGGGTGGATATCAGTGATACTTACCGGTCCTCCGTGTGAGAAGGACAAACACCGGAGCCATCGTCTGATCACTCCGGTGTTTGTAAATAACTGGGGACACGTAG